GGCAGAGCAGATTCTGATAGGGGTCCTGCTGGCTTGTCTTAGAGTTTCTTGTCATTCATCTCCTCCTTGGACAGGGGCTCCATGGCAGGTTGGAGGCAAGGATGAACGCCTGAGCGCAGGGCATATGAAACAAATTAGGTCTCCGTTACAGCCACCCAGAGGCGGGTGATGGATGGGGCCCATGCTCTCAGTAAAGCTAATTGGCAACACACAGAGACATCCAAGAAAGTATATTATTTTGCCAGACTTTGGAGTCATTGGTTCCCACCACCACCCCCACCACCCCTCTTTTTTATTGTAGAACACTATACAGCCAGAGATAAAAAGCACAGTGAAAGTTTTAAATCTAATAAAAAGCACTGATTGCAGAGTAAAAATAATGTACACAGAGAAGTTTGGTTTGTATTCGGGTTTTATTAATGTTCCTTCATTGCAAAGTGGTGCCAGTTAAAAAACGATTCAGAGAGAGCCACATTAATAAACAGCTTGTCCTCCTGAAGGGCCAGAGATGCTGTGGTAAATAGCATGCGTGCGCGCGCACGCACGCACGCACGCACGCACGCACGCACAGTGTTATGAGGAGCTGGAGGTTGTTACAAACTGCCCTTAGACCTGGTCAGAGGAGAGAAGCCTTCTGATTGAGGTTGGAGCAAAAGCACCAGAGGTTTATTCTGGGCCATGTGATCCCGTACCCCAAATAATGTACAAATTGTGCCCAGCAGAGCAGGGGTCAGCATGGTATCCTAGGTCCCACTTTTCCTAATTGTAAAATACGATTTTTGTTTTCAATGGCCTCGGAGGATCTCGGGAATTCTCTAGGAAATCACAGGCACTTATCACGGGCACTTATTGTTTGCTCTGGAGTGTTTTTCAATTTTGCTTTAGGAAATAATTACTAGACCTAATATTGGCCAGCAATGGAAAGATATCAAACCAGAGTTAGAACCCGACAAGCCAGGTGTTGTGCTTGGGTGTCACTGTAAAAGAGTAACTAGTCACAGGACAGGGTTCCATGGGAAGTTTACAAGACAGCTATATGACAGCATCATGGGATCGGCAGGTGTTGAGGATGTTTTTTGACCAGTCATTTCCAAAGGACCTTCACATTTGCAAAGTGCTGCTAAATGAATCAGTTCCCACATTAGTCCTCAGTTATTTTTACAATAACCAGTCATTTTCACTCAAGTGCCTGCTTAGTTGTATTCAACTGTTTTGTTTTCTGCCTCCACAACTGGAGTTTTGGACTCTAGGGAGAAAATAGAATTCTATTTTTTTAAAAGATGGTTTGAGCTGTTGGGCCCATAGGGCCTGCCAGGTTTGGGGAGGTCATTCCCTTTTCTCTGGGAGGCCCAGCATATTGTCATCAGACAGCTCAGGGAAGCAGGTCATAGACAAAAGATAGTCACCTCCTCTATGACAACTGGGAGAAGGGTTCTGTTCTGCTGAGCACATTTGGAAATCGGATGTCCTCTATCAAAGTCTGCACTCCACTATGGCTGATCCCTAACTCTACACTGGGGTTACCATCAGGACATGTACATGGAGCCAGGCCTGCTTCCAAAGCCTCTGCCCCTCCATGCTAGTGCAGTCAGCTCGGCATCAGCCTGAAAACTGTGGGGTTGGTTTCCAAAAGGTGGAGGATAAGGAAATGAATGCATTTTCTCTCTGCAGTGGCTCTGGGTCCGGCTCCCGTCTGCCTTTCCCCACAGCTTTGATGCCCATGTGAACTTAAAGGGTTCATAGAAAGGACAAAATTGCTGGTGTTGGGTCTAGTCCTAATTTTCCAGGGAAAGCGAATCCGCCCATCTCTGCACAATTGCAGAACCCAGTAGGCCGCTCTGCCCCCTCATGCCATCTCCTGTCTATTACATACCCCCAGAGCGTTGGCTGGCCTGGCCTGGTGGTGACCACTGTCCGCTGCTGCCTCCTTTCCACCTTCCCAGGGCCTGGATGGCCTTTGAGTAAACAGATAGCCCGGTGAGGTGTGTGATCAATTAGCTTTGCTGAAAATACAATCATTTTGTTATTCCAAGCTGATGAGAAGGCCTCTTCGGCCTGCTCTCCCAGCCTCCACATGCCAATCAGCCCGTGTCACCGATATAATTTTCCACATAAACACAACCTTTGTGCAACATCTACTCTTGTAAATAGATGTAATTCCCTAACCAAATAGCGCACTTGGAGGGGAAATGGATATTATGCATGCAAAAAGAAAAGCTGGTGATTTTTACACTTTCCAGGCAACAAAAGATTACCCCTAATTGCAAATGGGGGGGGCGCTCTGGGTAGGGAAGGGGGGGCAGCGCTGGGAGGCTGGGGAGGCTTGCTTCCAGGCAGATTTTTTCCTTCTTTCTGTGTGTGTGTGTGTGTGTGTGTGTGTGTGTGTGTGTGAAGACCACCAGGAACTGCCTAATCCCTGATTTGTCCTGTGTAGGCAGTGGGGAAAATATGGTTGTTGTTGTTGATATCTGAAAGGAAACGGAGATACTCTCTGAACCCTAAACCATACACATCCTGTTGAAGCATTTTCCCCTTCGTCCCTGATCGGAACAGCTTCGGTGGGCTGTGGAGCACGACTCACTCTGTAATGCATTGGTGTGTCTCTTTCAGTGTTCTGCTTATTTCCGCATATTCCTAAATTAGATCTTAAAAGCAGCGGAAGTTGCCGGGCAGCTAGGGACTGAGAGCACCGCAGAACCCACTGTGTAATCCCAGCCAGGTCTCTGGAGCTCTGAGTGCCACGGAAAAGAAGGTTGAGATACCCCTGCCTGAGCCCCTTGTCTCCCTACCGGTGCCCCCTGGTGCACAGGAGTGGAAAAGCCATGAGTCTCAGAGTGTCCTGGTTCCTGGCTGGCTGAAGAAGGAAGGCTTCAAAGCGTGGCTGAGTGGCCGGTCCCCTCCAGGCCAGTCAGCCAGTCTCTGGGCTCTACCTCTGTACATCTGAAAGGTCATCAGGTCACAGATACATTAATGCAAAGATGCATTATCAGCAGGTGAATGGTGACATCTTGGCCCGAAGAAATCCTTGATGCTTTATGCAGCCTGAGTTCAAAACAGCAACGAAGAGCAAGCCAGGCAACGCAGGTCTGTAGATCTATGTACAGGGGGAAAGAGAGAAGGCCAGCAAGCCTGGGGTACAGAGAGTAAGATATGACTACAAGACTCCCAGCTTCTTTCTTGGTTCTTTCCCTGGGCCTGGGGAAGGTGTGTGTGGCCCCATCGTTTGTTTGCTACAAAATATTCTTCGTTTTGAGTCTCTCCCCAACGCCCACAAAACTCAGCTAAAGAACCCCCCTCCAGCATCCCTTTGGTCCCCGGTTTCTGAAGCCCATCTGAAACTCATTAGCTGCTTGAGATGATTGTCATGGGAGCCCTTTATGGAGAACAAGAAGGGGAGAGGGATACTTTTAAAGGCTAGAAATAGGGATGTGGATACGGGGATACCGGTGCAGGCAGATGTTTGTGAACTTGGCTTTTGAGGAAGGACCCAGGGTGCAGGGGCCGACTCCTCACCTGACCCTGGGCTTGGAATCACCTTCTCCACTTCTCCTCCACTTCCACTGCCTTTGTCTCTCTCAACCCCTAGAATCTCCAGCCCTCTTTGGGTCTCCTTTGCCACTGCAAAGATACTGCCTGGGAAACCCTGCACCCTGATGCCAGAGACTCAGTTAGCATCCCTGGTCTCTGTACTACAGTTTAATTCCTGCCCTTCGCAGATCAAGTGACTTTGTATTTCAAATAAGGAAATCATAAACTATAAGAAATGTTGGGGGTATAACATACTACCTTTAAATTACAGAACTGAGAATCGCTTGAGTTTTCAAAATGTAGATGTGGGGAAAAGTACCTTTGTGTTGCAGAGTCTGAGAAACCTAGAATTCTGCAATCATCCTGTTAGAATTCTTAAAAAAAAAATTCACATGAAAGCCTTAACTATTAGTAGTGCAAAGCATTAGAATTAAGAAATTTGGGGATTATGGAATTACAACTGAGATTTTGTAGAACATTAGGAATACTGTTGAAGCAGGATATGGTGGTATAGAGGCAAAGGCAGGCAGATCTCTGTGAGTTTGAGACCAGCCTGGTCTATATATTAAGTCCAGGATAGTCAGAACTTCATAGTGAGACCTTATGCCTAGAAAAACAAAAATAAAGAAAGAAACAAAAGAAAAACGGAGAAGCAATATGGAGGAGTTAATGTACAGAAGCACAGGCTGGTGGAGTCTTAACAACTAGCGACCTCAAGCACAGCGGAGTGTTAGAATACCAATACAGAAACGTTGATGGAAGGAATCTTAGAACCGGAGCGTCTGCATCCCGGAACAGCGGAATGAGAGATTCAGAGCAGTCCATAATTACAGATTCTTTGGATCTAGGCACTTAGAACCACAGAACATTGCAATCAGTGTCTGTTTGTGAGAGAAGTAGATGTACAAATCCCAGAATTTTGGCATTACAGGATTTCAGACATAGCCTGGAGGGATTTCAGGGATGGGGGTGGGGGAGTTGCTTGCCCATCAGCTCCACTCTTGGCCCAGTTGTATTTGTGCCTTTGCACGTACAGGTTCACACACAGATGAGCATAGCCTTGGAGACCTCTAATCTTGTCATTCCTACACCCTTTAGAGTTGCTGACATCTTTTTCTGCCTCTCTTCTATGCTCTACCTCCCATCACGACAAATTCCTACCAGCTTTTTTTCCCAGAGACAGCTTACTTTCATTTTGCAAATCACCCAGTGTCTTAATTCACCATGCCCGAGCCTCTCGGGACAAGTCTATGAATAACATGTTAGTAATGCGAAGCCTTGGCTCCTCTGGGATATGGGAAGGGTCACAGAAGAGATGGGGCAGAAGAGTGTGTGGCCTGTGGCAGAGATGGCAGCACACAGGTACTCCTAGAAGCCACAACATCTATCCTATCTTGGAAGGAGGCGGGAGCCATGGAGGTGGCTGGGAGAGCAGCTTGGCCTGTCTAGGTGAAAGGAGACTGGAAACTATAAACCATTTCATGCTTATTTATTTTATGATCCTCGTGGGCTGGGGTTTACACAAATTGAACAACATGTGGATTAGATAATTTGCCAAGGATGAACAGCCTCCTCCGATGTTTATCAGGTTTGGAGGCGATTAAAGCCAGGTTGATGAGGACGCTTTGGTGATGAGTTGATGGTGGAATTCCTGTCAAGGAGACACAGAGGCTCCTCACCAAGCCGTAAATCCCTGCAGGGGATGGCACAGTGGAGGGGCTGGTCAGATATCAAGGGGAGAAGTAACTTTCCAGATTCTGTTACATCGCTGAGGGACAGACCCAAAGCAAACCATAGGCAACTTCAGAGGTACCCTGTGATAGTTTAGAAAACACTGGCTTCCTAGTGAGTCCATTCCAAAGCACCGTTAAAGGACTAGCCAAAGACAAATAACTTGAATGTGATCCTTTGCCTAAGGACAGTGGCAGTCAGGTTTTCCTCCAGCTTCTTCCAGAAGTCCTGGGGCCCTGACGTTCATTTACAGTACCTCAAGACTCCGCATGGAGAGAGGAATGTGGGCCAGAAATCCCAAGACATTAGTCGGTGTCCTACGGATAAAATGGGGAAAGCAATCCCCTTTTATTTATTTTATTATTTGCCAATTTCAAATATTTTTCTTAACAAGTCACTTAGTTTAGAGATTGGAAATCCTCATAGCCAATGAAATCACAGTTCTCCTTGGCTTCTAAGGATACTATTTCGATGGAGTCAAGAGTTTTCCAAAACTGAAAATAACCAGAGAAGCACACGACAGAAGGTTCCAGGTGCATAGCACAGCCTTGTCTATGTGCTGTGTGCCTCCAGGCAAGTCACAATTCCTCTCTGATCCCTAATAGCCCACCCACCAGTAGGAAGTTGCATTAAATAATCTCAGTGTGGGAGTGAAAATATTAGAAACAGGAAAAGAACCATTTGTCTTTGTTTCCTTTTTATGAGTTGTGTTTCAGATCAGCCAGGCTGGTGTTCCTATTTATTTCAGAGGCCGCTCAACCAAAAATTGCTGTTTTCATGGCTCTCAGTTTTGATTTCCGATGCTAAACAGAAAAACCACGACCCCAAACTTCCTAGACTGTTGGCTGTGGCTGTTGTACACATTTTCCAGTGGTGTGGGTAGATCGTAGTGAAACAAGGGACAAACGCCTGCTCGGTTCTGAAGGATATCAGGAAAGAAATGCTTAAATGAGTAAATGATGCAGCGACTGGGGGATCAACAGACCACACGGTCTAACTTGGTTTCTCTTTAAAAGTGGAGGAGAGCTAGGAAAAATATCAAGGTTGTCTTCTCCTAAACACAGTCCCCAGCCAGCCTGATTTTGAAGCACGGCATTGGGCGATACTGTGCTCCATATGCTTCTCAGCTCACAGGGACCACTGATGCTGGTTCTGGGGTTTGGAGCAGTAGGGCTGAGGGGATCGGTTGGCCTTTACAAAGGGACAAGGACAACATTCCATTTATGAACAAACCCCTTTCACTGTAGGCCTAGAAGGTCACGGAGGGTGTGCACAGGGTGAATGGGGTGGGGGTGAGGGTTCTCTGTCACTGTCCCCCTGGAAGTCAGTAGGCCTGTCATGCCAGCAGTTAGTCAAAGATGCACGAGAGTGATGGGGCTGTGGCAGTCCTGACAGACCATGGGCAAGATCACAGGTCTCGGCTCAGCCACCAGGATGAACAGGTAGTGAGGGCTGCCCTGCAAGGCTCGCTGACAGGTGCTGTGTGGTACACTGGCTCCTTAGCCTGAAGACTCCAAAAGTATGACGTGTCCTTCTGTGGTGATGAGGATGGGATTTAGTCACAAAGTCACTGCATCTATCTGGAATTCCAGATGAGCTTTGGGACATGATGGCGGGACCCCTCTCAGTTAGTTTGGCTGCGGCACCTCCAGCACAGATCAAATCCAGCTACCTCAGCCACACAGCTGACCGTCCTAGATAAATGGCCACATTTTCTGCTCCATAGCAAGACATAGGTTCAGACAGACAACTCATGGGAATGACAAAGCAGTATGGTATGTTACCAAAATGGAACGGGGAGAAGGCATCAGAAAACAGTATCAGTTCAGCTTTTCTTTTTAATTGCTGTGTAGCTGAACATAGAAGTTCATGCTGTAATCCCAGCACTTAGTAAGCTAAGAGAGCAGAATTAGCACAACTTGGAGGCCAGCCTGGGTTGCATAGAAAAACCCTGTCTCAAGTGAAACAGAAAACAGCCACCCAGCGCAGCTTCCTGGGTGGCTACATGAGGAAACAACGAGTCATTTCATGGGTGCAACTGCCCATCTCATCTGAGCAGCAGATCTGGAAACAGGCTGGAGCTAGAAATACAGACGGAGCCCTTTGGTTCAGCCTGAGATCCCTTCTCTGCTGTAGACTTTCGACTTTCGGGATTATAACATGGTAGAACTGATTGATGGGCAGGGGTCTTGTCATGGGAGGTAGAGGTACCCAGAGTCCTTACCGGAATCCACAGGATGTGGGATTCTTCTCTTGGCTGATGCTGCTCAGTGGTGGTTCTTTCTTGTGTTTTACCAGATTTTCTCTTGTGTCGGGGGCAGCCTGCATGCTTTTCCTTGTGGCTAATCTCCTGGGGCAAGTATACCAGGTATGCTGAGCATGGGAGATGGCAGTGCCGTCCCCTCTCCTGCCCCCGAAGTAGGGAGGCTTTGGGTGGGGAAGAGATTCAGGAGGGCCCTCTCAGTGTTTGGTGAATAAACACTGAGTCAGGTTTCTGGCCTGTCACTCTGTGGCCTTTCAGCACAGGAGAGGCCAGATGGGCCTGGGGGAGTTCCCCTAGCACATGAAGAGGCTGGAGCTTTGGGGGGCTGAGGCCCAGGCAGGGCTGGCTCTGTGCAGCAAGTAGAGTCAGCATTTGCAGGCCCTGGAACTTCACACCTTTGAAAGGCTCCAGAGCGGCTCACAGGAAAAATAAACGGTTTCTTCCATCCGTGGCAGCTTGGCCATCCTCAGAGGCTGCTCGTCACACACAAGAAACCCTGTAAAAGGGCCCAGTGTTTCCTTTTCCACTCCCTGAAAGGATATGAGCTGGCCTCTTAGGGCTGCTGGCGGTAGGCTAGAGCTCCCCTCACTCCACAAGAGTCCTTGGTCCAGCCTGATGCCTAGGACAACTAACCTGCTCAGGAATCAAAATACCTGCCCAGTGTGCATGTGAAACTGTTTGGCATATGGGATTTGTTTCAACAGCTTCCTGCTCGTCTTGTGGCCTCCAACTAGGAGTCAGAGTGTCTGCAGCAGCTATAGCTACCAGCTTACTACGCATGTGAGGAGAAAGGGGCTGAAGGGCTCCCTGGTTACTGGCACCCAGGTCTTCTCTGTAGGCATCTCTTCCTCTCATTGATTGTCTGTTCCTCCTCCCAATGGGTCCATCATCTCACAAGCAGGACTGGCCATGGGGACAATCACAATGCAAGGCATTTCCTGAGCTTCATTGTGCCACAGGAGAAAGAGAGAGAGAGAGAGAGAGAGAGAGAGAGAGAGAGAGAGAGAGAGAGAGAGAGATATAGAGAGAGAGAGAGCACAGATCTGAAGACATGTTGAAAACCAGCACAAAGAATGCAAGGATTAGAGAGTCCTGGGGTTAATACCAGCCTGTCTCAGGGAGAGGTGGTTCAGGCAGAATCTCTGGGAGCGTTGGGCATCAGGGAGGGCTTTGTGGAGGAGAGTCTGACAGAAACAGGAGATTTCTGCCCAGATCTAGTTTGCTGCAAATGCTCCAGCCTCATCCTGCTGCTGGCTCCCAGAAGTTGGAAGATGGCCCTGAGAATGTGCCTGTTCTCCTGCTGGGCCTTACAGAGATGGGAAGAGTCAATTCAAACTAGGAGCAAGGGGGTGGTAAGAACACACCCCTGTGTGAATGCTGGCAGGGATGGGGTTAGGGATGGTGAGCCCCTGTCACAGCAGGTATTCAGAGGCTAAGGACACAGTGGGATTTGGGGCTGCCCGTCAGACAGTTTGCACTCCAGACTTGGGTTCTGACTTTGCAGTCTACCCCTAGTGACCAAACTACAGGTGAGGCTCCTTATATTTCAAAGTCCTACTTTTTAATATTATGGTTTATGATCATATCACATATCAACTATATATCATTGTAATATATATTTTATAAATATTGCCCCAAAACCCCACTCCAACTTATCTTGGGGGAGAGGTCCTCATGATGAAACTGAGACTCTAAGATCTGACAAGTTGATTTTTATAGGGATTAGGATCCTGAACCTCGAGTACTCTGAAATAAAAGAAAGTGATCCCATTTATTTAATACACACTTTACGGTGCTCCTGGTAGGGAAAGCTCCCCTATGGATAGTATTACCCTTAGAAGGACATGTCAGCAGGGAGGAAGGTGAGTAACTTGCTGATAGTCACAGCTAAGGAAAGGGCAGCACTCAGTCTTCAGGGTCTACACAGAAGATTAAGTCCACAAGGCAAAACAGCCTTCAGTGTTTAGAATCCAGAGAGATGGAACTGATGGGGCTTCTGTTTATTTATTCCTAATGCTTTTATGGTTATGCTGATGATGCAGTCAGAAGACAACATTTGGAGGCTGGTTCTCTTCTTCTGCCTCCAGTTTTGAGGACTGAACTCAAGTCATCAGCCCTGTGGGGTAAAGGGCCTTTATCTACTGAGTCATCTTGCCAGCCCAAAGATGAGACTTGCAGTAATAACAACAAATGTCCAGCATGATGGTTCTAGGAGCCAGCAAACTACCTGCACAAGGCCTAGTGGTCAAGCATTTCAGGCTTTGCAGGTTAAAAAGTCCACCACACAATGACTCAACTCTTTAGCCAATACTGACACAAACCAACGTGACCAGGTCCCAGGAAAGCTTCCCAACACAAGTGGTGGCAGGTGGATTTAGCCCTTGAGCAACACTTTGCCAAACCCAGTTCTCTTGACAGCTAAGAGACTCCTGCTCTGCCGAGCACCCTGGTAAATGCCACCCCCCCTTCAGGAGCCTCGATGAACCTCACCAGGGAGGCAGAGGGGTCTGCAGAGTCCAGGACAATTCCCCAGGGCTCGGGGCCTCTGAGTGTGGCTGTCCCTTTCTGTCCTAGAGAGGCTGTTGAAAAGCTTCCTCTGTAGTGCGCAGCCTCATTACTCTCTGCTGGAAAACAATGTTAATTTTCCCCAAGCGGGAAGCAGCTGCACTTGTGAGGCAGGCTCATTTGGCTGCATGAATATTTATGGTCTGTCCCTTAATTAAGCCCAGAAACACAATCTATCCTGCTAACAGGGGCCACTGAAGACTGGGAGGCCGTGTCAGGAACCAGCCTCTTGTGCCTGTGAAGTAGGGCTGTCAGCGAAACATTTGTTTCTAGAAGCCCTTGGCCAGGGCATGTGTCCACAGGCGTGGCGGGGTGGGCATTTCCTGGGAGGTCAAGCACCCTTTTTGTGTTCATGTGCTAGAGCCTGCCTGGTCACTTTGCTGGGCTGGATGGGAAGTTATTGTTCCAGGCCTGCCTGGGGTGGCACACAGGTGACTATAGGCCACCACCCTAGTGAGGGTGACTCAGGTATTTCCCCACTGGGCCTCATAGGGCACTTTAGTGACAGCTGCCCAGAGAGAAAGGGTCCCAGTGTGGGAGTCAGAACTGGGTTGGATATGAATCCTTCAGGACAGGGGCTCTTCTGCCCCAGTCCCTGCTTTGTTGAAGTGGTAGAGGAATCCCAGCACCATCTACCCTGTGGAGCTGTCACTGGGAAGCAATTGAAAGAGAGTTGGGGGGAATGGACTCTGAGGTTTCCTTTCCTCTAGGTTCCCCTCCCTTAAGCCCACACAGCCAAGGAGGGTTGACCATGCCCAGCCTGGTAACCTTGAAGGTTTCCGGAAGTCATAAATCTTGCCTTTTCTTGCAGGGTCCTATCTTCAGAAAACTACATGGGGCCTCATATCCTCTTCCCCAGAGCCAATAAACCAAGTAAACACCATAAAGCTCCTCACCCACCTGAGCTTTCACCCACCAGCAGAGCTAGTCCACCATCAGGAACTTGGGGCTTCAGGATGTGACAGTGGCGCTGGCCATGACTTCTCCCTGCCCTTTCCAGAATGGCGCCAGCCTTTCATTTCTCTCTTCTGTCCTCTTTTTGGAGGTTCTCCCCTGTCACTTCTAAGCAGCATTAGGAGACAGCAGATTGTGTCCCCACCCCTTTCTGTGGGGCCTGGGTAAAAGGATGCTTTCCCAAGGCGGGTCTGGCCCCAGGGTGCAATCATCCCAAGCCTTAGCGCCCCATATACCTTGTAAATTCAAAAGTCAACAAGACCTGGAAGTACAGGAGACCCTCCAGCTGGAGGAGGAAGTGGAGGACAGTGGGCCTTGCCTGTGAAGTCGGTCAAGGGCTGTTTCAGTGCCCTCTGCCCCTGCCCCTAGCTAGACTGCTCCACCCACGGAGTCCTGAGATTTCCTGATCTCTTACCTTCATATCCTGTCACCAGAGCTATTCCAGCAACAGCTTAGATGTGGACATGGCCTTCAAAGCCACCTGTCTCATATATTCCCACCACCTATGGGGAGGTAGCAAGGATGGGGAGTGCCTTGTTCAAGGCCAACGTTAGAGTAGATAAAGTGGAAAGAGCCTGAGCTGCAGTCTGGAGGCCCAGGCTTGGCTCAGTGCAGCCTTACTTTCTCCACAGGTTCACGTGGATAAAGGAGGGACTAGAGCTTCTGAAAGCATATTCCGCCTATGGGACCACTCACTGCTCTTTGTATTCAAAACACCATCTTCCCGGAAAAACAAAGCTGGACCCTACCGGTTTGGGAGTCTGATGCAGTGGACCCCCCAAGAACACTAAGCAAAGCTGTCATTTACTTGTATGGTCTTGAATATAAATGTAAGTGGGGATTATACTGCCCCTCACACATTAGTCCCTCCCTTCAGGTTTTTGAAGATGAAATGAGATTCTGATTGTGAAAGTACTTTATTAGCCAGATGTGTTTACATACGAGCAAGTAGGTGTTGAGTGGTACCTATGCTTTTTGTTCTTTTTTGATGTTTGTTGTGCTTTCTGCCTAGCCAGAAGTGTCAGCTCGCCTCTGGAAACCTGGGACTTAGGTGCTGGTTCTACCAGCTCCAAAGGGCTGAATCAGGCTCAAGCCCCTTTGTTCTTATCTAGTCTCAGTTTGTGGCTAGGATGTTGGCATGAGGGATTAACCAGTTCCATGGTATGACAGGTGAGTCCAGGTACCTGGGATCCCATATTTGGCTTCTGTCTCTCTGCAGTTCTGCAGGGTCCCCTGATCTCTACTAGGTGCTAACACTTTCCTTCCAATTCTACCAGCACCTTTACTTTGGGGAGGAAAATTTCATTTACATATTTTTTACTCATTCAGCATGAAAGCCATCACAAAGCTTTGTCACAGCCATGATGGGTATGGGGCCAGTGGGGAATCTTAACCACCTTTTGGAGCATTTTCCTTCTGGGTAGAGGAGACAGGGACAGGAAATCATACTGTATCAGGAACAACCAACCTGACACTTTGGTGCCTGCTTGCTCCATAGCCTCCTCACAAATAGAAATGGGAGGCCAAGCCAGGTCTTCCTTGGGGCACAGAAAACTCTTTGGCTTGGAAATCAATCCCACTGAGATTTGCCTTGAGCTCTCTCAAAGCAGTGCTGTTAGCTACTGGGCAGGGTGATTTCCTTACTCAGCAGTGATGTGGTGTTTGTGGACCCCATACTCCACACCTACCCATGCCATTTAGCTGTCTGGACTGCATTTCTTCTTCACAAGTCCTGGAGTTGTATCCAGCCTTTGAGGTCCAGCTGCAGTTGAACATGGCCTTCCCCAAGTCATTCTGGATAAAGCAACTGCCAGGGCGGGAG